ATAGATAGATAGATAGATAGATAGATAGATAGATAGATAGATAGATAGATAGATAGATAGATAGATAGATAGATAGATAGATAGATAGATAGATAGATAGATAGATAGATAGATAGATAGATAGATAGATAGATAGATAGATAGATAGATAGATAGATAGATAGATAGATAGATAGATAGATAGATAGATACGCTCAAAGTCACCGAAGTTCGCTAATAAATGCTTCGCATTTAAAAACTAGCATACCTAATAAACGTACGCCCAAAGCTCGAGTATGCATCGTCCATTTGGAATCCATCCCAGGCATATATCGCTAACGAACTAGAATCAGTCGAAAACCGCGCTGCCCGCTTTATAACCTCACAGTTCTCCAGAGAAATCAGCGTCACCGCCCTAAAACGATCAATCCAACTACTATCTCTCGCGTCACGCCGCCTGATCTCACGCCTATGCCTCCTGCACAGTTTCCTTTTCCGCCCGAAATCAAGACACGAACTTTAACAACCCCCTAACAGAACTTTTTCTCGCATTATCCCCATTGCACCAATCAACGGCAGTACGTCTGCAATGAAAGACACCTTTCCCCACAAGCAATTACACTTTGGTATCGCCTCCCCGACTCCATAGTTGCCACACCTGACCGCACATCATTCCGCGCAAAATTGGAATCCCACTTTGATTCCGCCCAATATCCCATGGCTGTAGATATATCCTACCAGCGTACTGTATGTATAATTTTTGCCATGTTGTTTGTACTCTAATTCCCACTGAAACGTTTCTTTTGTTTATTGTTTGATTAGTTTTTGTTGTCATTCTTGACCAAACTGCCGTATGCGTATTTAGAACTGTATTGTTTATAATAATTTGTTCCCACTGAATTGTACACCCTCACAGTGTATTTGTTGCCCCCCCCCCTTATGTAATGCCCTCAAGCCTTTAAGGCCGTAATAAATGAAATGAATGAAATAAAAATTTAAAAAATAAAAATCAAAATAGCTGGGCAGATGACACTCCTTGGTTTGGTGTACTTGTGGACGGGATCAAAGGCCAGAGAGGAAAACATGGCAATCGTGGAGTGTATAACAAAGGACATGGAGCAATTAGGACGAGAGTGCAAGATAATTAAACTAGGAAGTATGAATTCGCACATAGGAGATATAGATGGGTATACTGACCCAACAGGCAAAATGATCAATGATATGTGTGAAAGGCATGATTTGATCATTTGCAACAGTACTGAGAAGTATGAAGGGCAAAACACATGGGAGGTAGGAAGGCTGCAGTCGACGATAGATTATGCACTGATGTCACATAGGATGTATGATAGGCTCAGAGGAATCAGAGGAAGGCACATAGACCAATGTGGCTCCAGAAGTCTGGGTAGTGATCACAAAAGTATCAAGCTACGTTTTGGAAGAGCAGTGAAAGTGGGAAAGAGGCAAGATGAGCAACTACAGCAAAATTTTTATTCAGAAAGGCAAATAGAAATAGCTTCTAAACAAATTAAGAAAGTAATCACTGGGGATAATAAAACAGTGTGGTCATACACGAATTTAATTAGAATGTTTGAGTTAGAGCTTGCTAAGGCACGTGACAAGTCACCCCGGAAAAGAAGACACAAACCCAAGAGTTGGTGGGATGAGGAAGTTAAGAGAGCCATAGCAAAACTTTAGGAAGCTCTAGGGAACACAGGCATGCTAAGCAACGGGGTGAACCGACAGATGATGCTGAAAGAAAATGGGACATCTTTCTAAGCTGTAGAAGGGAAGCATCCCTTCTGATCAATGAAAAAAATAGAAGAAAGTGGGCTCAGTGGCTGGTAAAAGTACATAAAAAGGATAGAAAGGCAGCTACAAAATTTTCGAACCATCTAAACTCCCTAAAAAATGAGTCAAGCCTGGAGTAGTGGTTTATAACTACAGCTCAAGGTGCTAGGCTAAAAGGAGACGCCGCTATTGAATATATAAGAACAAGGGCGACAGAAAAATTTCAACAAAGGGCCTTATGTACCACAACAGACAGGGATGGATCAAGTGGCACAATGGCTTCATTTTCACAAAGAGAGTGGGAAATGACTACATAAAAGTAGTACATCAACAGGCCCTGCCAGCATCCCAATTACGCTGATAAAGGAATTAGGTACCAAGTCTGAGGGGACCTTGAGAGAGGCAGTGAGCAAAACAATAATCGATGGTGAAATCCCTAATGGATAGAAACTTAGCAAAATGAGCATGACCTACAAAGGAAAGGGGGACAAAGCTGACATAAACAACTATCGTCCTATAACAGTGACACCAGTGGTTTACAGGCTGGTTATGCAGATTAAAAAGTAAATGCTGCAAGCATGAATAGAGGATGAGGGGGTGCTGGGGGAACTGCGGAATGGCTTTTGGAAACACGGGAGGTTGGAAGAAAATCTGTTCTCACTGACACAGTGCATCGAAATAGCAGAAAAAAAACACAGGCCCCTGTGGCTAGCATTTTTGGATATCAAGGGAG